TGATTCTAATGTGCAGCCAAGGTTGAGAACCACTGAAATATACTCATCTTAATGAAAGACTCACTACGTTGTGCTTCTCTTTTTACTGTAAACCACTGACAACGACCCTTCGTTGGTCTTAAGAAGCGATGGAAAACCTGTATTCTTCAAGCACAGTTTCAACTGCTTAAATGTGATGATGAAAAAGAAACTGCTTTAAAACATGACCACAGCGCGGGAATGGCAGGTGTGCCCAGGCTCCTTCAGATCCCACAGTTACAGGCCATCTGGTCAAATGAACCCTAACAGCCCCAATCATTACCATGCAATGACTTTCCCCCCTTCCCTCTAAGAAACAAACAGGATTAACACATTTCACCTGTTGTCTATTGAGCTTAGGTAATACTAAGATCTGTGAGCCTTGCCTCTAGGACAGTGGTTCTCAACCTGTGGGTCTCGACCCCTTTGGGGGTCGAACGACCCTTTCACAGGGGTCGCCTAAGACCATCGGAAAACACATATATAATTACATATTGTTTTTGTGATTAATCACTATGCTTTAATTATGTTCAATTTGTAACAATGAAAATACACCCTGCATATCAGATATTTACATGACGGTTCATAACAGCAGCAAAATTACAGTTATGAAGTAGCAACGAAAATAATGTTATGGTTGGGGGTCACCACAACAGGAGGAACTGTATTAAAGGGTCGCGGCATTAGCAAGGTTGAGAACCACTGCTCTAGGAGATAAGTTATATATTACAAAAAAGAAAATGTATGATTAGTGCCCAAATCCCTGCGGAAAATCTGTCCAAAAATTGTGCTTGTTTTTCTAATGTTTCTATCTAAAAAGTAAAGAGGACATCAGTCCTGCCTCAAATGAGGTCGCGGAGTTTATAACTGGACGTCAAGATGGCTCCAAGGGAAGGGAAAGCGAGTCACACCCCCTTGCTCCTTTGAAGCGGACGCCTTGCTTCGGTAACTGGGCTTAGTGTTGTGGGCGCCCGAGAAAGTAGGCGTCTGAAATCACTATGGATTCTCAGAACAGTTTATCTCAGACAAAAAATAATAGGAGACGATTATGGGGTTTTGTCCATCAGTGTGCTGATGGGCTGGCTTAATCCAAGTAAAAACTAGGTCTCTATCACAGAAGGAAGTCATTCCTGACTTGGCAATGTTCTAAAGCACACTTTTGGATAAACCTGGCACTGAATGAAAAATAAGGCTTTTTTTTTTTTAAAGTGTCTTCATAGGAAATGAACGTTAATTTACATCTCCCATCATTTCATTTAAAAGGGGGATCTTTTAACTCAAAATAGAGAATAAGGCTCATTCTTCATTGGTAACAAGCTACTAGAAACATGAGGCCCAAACTTACTTATCGGTAGGTTCGCCTTTGGCTAGTTTTTCAGCACAAGCGATAGCACCTTTGTGAAGCCAGCAATACGTATCCACGGCCACCACCTGGCCCTTGTACTTCCTCACGTGGATGGGCTCCGAAGCGTCTTTGATGAACTGCAGCAATCCTTGTATCCCCATCGTGCCAAGTGAACTACATGACGTGAAAGGAGAAGGGGAAAACAGCAATATTTAAAGGCAAATATACATTTACCCAAACGTTTTAGGAAAATAAAAACAAAACAAGAAAAAAAGAGTCTGGAAACGAATAAGGACCTGTTACTATTCAGATATTTGAGAGTCAATGTTCTCAAATATTTTAACTGGGCTCCTCCCTGTCAAACAATTTCCATCGTCTAGAATTTTCTTTCCAAAGTGCTTTCCCACATGGGATCATGATGTGTGCTCCAAGCCCTTAACACAGTACTAGACACATGGGAGGCATTGAAGAGGTATGAGTCTCTCTTCTCTAAAAATGCATTGCTGCCCGGCCGGCGCGGCTCAGTGGTTGAGGGTGGACCTATGAACCAGGTGGTCACGATTCGATTCCTGGTTAGGGCACATGCCTGGGTTGCAGGTTCGATCCTTAGTGGTATGTGTGTGTGTGTGTGTGCAGCAGGCAGCCAATCAATGATTCTTTCTCATCATTGATGCTTCACTCTCTCCCTTTCCCAAATCAATAAAAATATATTTTAAAAAAACAGCAGCAGTCCTGGCTGGTTTGGCTCAGTGGCTAGAGCGTTGGCCTGAGGACTGAAGGGTCCAGGGTTCGATCCCCAGCAGGAGGCCTGCAGGAGGCAGCGGATCAATAATTCTCTCTCATCATTGATGTTTCTATCTCTGTCTTCTCCCCCTTCCTCTCTGAAGTCAATAAAAATATTAAAAACAACAGCAACAACAAGTTGTGGAGGCAGCCACAGTTCCAGGATCTGTCCTTGACCCCTGGATTAGAGTTAAGTATCCACTTCCATCTGCCCATTTGGTGCAGAGCAGCTGAAGCAGCTGATTAATGAATGATTCTCTCTCATCATTGATGTTTCCCTCTGCCCCTCTCCCTTCCTCTCTGAAACCAATAAAAACATTTTAAAAAGAGGCATTGCTAAAACCTATGAACCTGTTCTTGCTATGGCATCACACTCCCTCTACACAGGCATTATAAGAGGCCACGTGCAAATGAGCACGGGAGTGGAAACTCAAAACGGCTTGCAGGCAGGCAGGCGTTTCAACTAAAAAGTGTAATAAATGCTTCAGGACAAACGCTTTAACTTCCCACCCCTTCCACCCAGGTGGCACCCCCTGAGCCCCTTCTATACAGAA